TCAAACAATGATTATTTTTTGTTTCATAAACATATTTGCTGTATTCTGTGGTCAAACAATAACTCAGAAGTTCTTGTTTCATAAAAATGTTTGCTGTATTCTAAGGTCAAACAATTATTATAATTTCGTTTTTCAGAAACATATGTGCTATATGCTGAGGTCAAACAATAAGAATTTCTTGTTTGATAAACATATTTGCTGTATTCTGAAGTCAAACAATAATAATTTCTTGTTTGATAAACATATTTGCTGTATTCTGAGGTCAAACAATAAGAATTTCTCGTTTCATGAACATGTCTGCTGTATTCTGAGGTCAAACAATAAGAATTTCTTGTTACATGAACATGTATGCTGTGTTCTGAGGTCAAACAATAACAACTTGTTTTATAAAAATGTTTGCTGTATCTTAAATGGGAAAGTAGTTGGAAAAGTGATTAGGTGAGTGAGCAATGTCTTACTTTGCCTAGTAATCAAATTTAATCGATCTTGACTACTTGTTACAAAAGAATATTATTTCTTCAAGAATATTTTCAACCTCTTTTTATTAATATAGCTACGATTGTACATTAAGATTGTTCTTGCCTCAAACATATCGTAAGTGTTTGAAGTTAAGCTTAATGTCACTTCTTGTTTCTAAATTGTTGTATTTACAGCATATCTTTCATAATACCTATTTCTTGCTTTAAAACTTGAATTGCTGTACAATAATAATTATTTGTTTGTTCAAAAAATTTTCCCCTTAAAACTTAAATTTGTGTTTGATCTTTTCCAGGGTTATTAGTTAGTTTGACCTTAGATTGGCTATCTCAGTTATCTTAGAAATAAGATCAGGTTTCCTTGGTTTTTTGGGAAGACTAGGTTTATGTCCTATGAGTTCGTTAAGGAGTTGAATGAGATCACCAATTTTCAGCTTTTTCAACTCATCCACTGACTGGGTAATGGTCTTCTTCTGAGGATCTTCAGTGGCATTAGGGGTTGTCAGGACATCTTCTCTTGGTTTTTCTACAGCTGAAATCCGAGGCACTTTCTTTGCCGATTCTTGCTTGCCTCCATCACACCAGAAATTTGTGCGCTTTTCAACAAGCAGGAGACTAGTACATGCATCCCATCTGTTTATCTTCCGATGGAAGAACCGCCTGAAATCATCATTCTTTTTCTCAACTCCTGATAAAAGAAGGAAAGAAATGCAGGTAAGAGGTTTATTTTTTCTCGACCCCTCATAAAGATAAGAGGCACACATTGTTAAGTTAGTTGATATATCTCTCTCTCTTAAGAATTTACTCTCTCCGGTCATTAGTGTCTGTTTATACGTGATAAAGTTTTACTTTATTGCAAAAAATGTTACCTTGACCACTGAAATACTTAAGTGAACCATGGTTTCTTATCATTGTGGGGACGTGATAAACGAGGATGTGAATGTATGGGGTGATGATTGTCTCATTTGTGTAGCCGGGTCCACTTCCTGCCATCCTTGCCAGAGAGCTACCCCATCTTCTAGCCTGTGTGAAGAAAACAAGATAAGTGAATGTCTGTTCGTGCAGAAATAATGTCTCTGCAATTTATGAGCATGTGGTTATTATCTTGGATTTATCTATTTATTTAAATTTATTTATTTATTACAGACCTTATCTTGTATTTCATCAACCTCATTATCAGTGTGGGCATCTTTGTTGATTAGGTCCAGTATCTCCTGGAAACCCTGAAAATATTAAAGAAGATTCCCAAGTAAGATCAGGACTAATATATCAACCAACAAAGCCCAGAGCAAAAGTTTTCTTCCTTAAACATGCTTTGCATTAGAAATGACATTTTTACTCACTGTCCACAGTTTTTGAACAACTGGTGCCCTTTCTGGTGGTAGCAATTTTGAAAAGTTGCAGGGAAGTTTTCTCAGGAGTAACCGCTTCTCTCCACCCAGCAGAGATGTCCATTCCACTTTCCTTGCTGATTCCTTCGGTCTCCATACATTGAGGGTAATTCCTAGTGAGCGCACTGTGGTTAAAAGTGCATCTAAGTGGATGGGCTTTCTTGCTGATGGGGCTTTATCTTTGTTTTCAGCCTGATTTGGTAAGAGGTAATTCATTAGTATGATGAAACTGTTGATACATGTGCTATGGTGTTAGTAACTGTCAGTTCATATGTCAGTTAATTATGGTAGGGCAATCAAAATATAACATACATAAACCTTTTTCAAAGCAAAATTTGTGAAGAGAATAAATATTGATTCTACCTCATCCCAATCTAAAACTTCGAGGATTAGGCCTGTTTCCAGTCGATCCATCACACGTAGCATAAGGTGAAGCTCATCAATAATGATGTTGTCGAGGGGTATCTTGAATAATGGCTGATGCTGGCATCCAGGTTGCTTATACCAATCTGGACCCAGCGTCCTTTTCATGTTCGATGACTGGTAATAAGAGAATGGAACATCCATGTTGCATCTAAAGTTGAAGACCAACAGAACAGAAACTTAAGGAAGATCAGAATTTTACAAAACATGTTGAAACCTCAAATATTAAAAAAGGGTATGCAATCAGTTAATTATCAAGAAACAAGATAGTTCTGAATAGTACCTGTCTTTTTTATGGATCAAGCACCAGATGCATGAATTGTTGGAGATGGCCCCCTTCATTCCCATTGAAAGAAGTAGAAACTGTTGGAATGATAATAATAATGCAATAAACCACCAAGCTCAATGTCATCCAGTACACAGTACACAGTACACAGTCCTGGAAACTTTGCAGTTTTTTTATGTAATCATCAAGTCATAGACATTGTACTTACTTTGTAATCACCCCCCAAGAAGAACTGCAGTTTTACTTTCTTTCCATTCATTACAACAAATCCATCGTCGATTAGCTTATTGACAGTTGATGTCACATTTGCCAATCCATTTCTCAGGTTTTTATAGTCTTCAGAGGTTTTCAGTACAGCAATAGTGTGGTTGCCTGTAAAAAGCACAATACATGTAAGGGGGGAGTAGAAATACTTGACCTAAGTTGGTTGAAATGTTTAACTTCAGACTTTTTCAACATGTTCATTAGAATCGAACAACATTGGCAATTAGTCATGAGATGTATAGAAACAAAAACAGATAACTTGTGAGTACACTGTAGTTTTATCAATTAGGGATCTCAATTTTGAAAAAGGCTGTTCTGCTATTCATAAATAAATGCATGTATATTGTGGGAGGAAAAAAACAAGTAAACTA